GGGGCAGCGCCGCGCACCCACCGGGCACCCACCGGAGAGCCGTCCCGGGGCCAGCGGGGAAGGTAAGCCCCGCCCGCCGCCACCCCGACAAGGTAGGCCGGCCCTTCCCAGACCTGCGCTTTCTTGGGGTTGCCGTCTTTTTTGCCGGCGAGGCTCCTCCCCCGATGGAAAAAAACGACCCGCCCACAACTCCAGGGCAGGGAGGACAGAAAGCGCAAGAAAGCGGCGTTTTCGCTGGGTTTCCAACCCCCCCCCCTCGCAGGCAGCCCTTGAATAGGATCTGCCAGAGGAGCCCCCCAGGAAAGAAAAGCTGGCCAGCTGAGTCGGAGGTGCCTTCAAAACCCACGCGCACCAAAGTACAGCAGGCTTTGGCCACTGTTGTGAGAAGCTTTGGGGCTCTTATTTAAGGGATTTGAAAATATTTCAGTGTTAAATCCATATGGATCATTTAAAGCAGGCAAATCAACGCAATTCAATGCCCACTTTTCTCCTTTTGTTCTTTTCCTTTTTTAAAATGTTTTTGTCCGTTGCAGAGTTTTAAATTTCTGGTTAAATTCTTCTACCTGTGCAGCCGAATGACAGAGATTCACAGAACAGAATAGCTTCCAGTTCCTCAGCAGACTACCCCTTTCCTCTCATCAACTGGCACTTACAGTCTCAATAATTGACTTTGAAACCTCTGTAAGAATTTGAAAGAATAAACAGCCTTCATTACTGTACTTTCAACTGAACAAATCGGAACAGCAAACTGACCGACATAACTGCTCTTAGCAACAGACTCCAGCAGACCCTAGAGAGGGAAAAAGCATTGAGCAGAGGGGGTGGGTCTCTCTTTGAATTCAGAGGCAGGGAACAAACGATTAGTTAGCGCCGGATAGATTGACAGTCGTCCCAGTCCAGAAAGGTTCCTCCCAGCCAAATAAACTACAACCAGCATACAAAGTTGTAGACGTTCCAACACCGTGAGTGGCCATCTTGCTTTAAAGACATGAACCATGTGCTTAGAAACATCCTGCTTTGGGGACTACAAATCCCATCATCCCTGGTGACATGACTTTGGGGATTCTGGGAAGAAGTCCCCAGGATCACTCACTGGATGCTGGCAGAGCTGGTTCAAAACCAGTGTGATAAGAGTCCTTCCTTTTACCCCCCCTCCAACCGACCACAGTTTGCCATCAAGGGCCGACCCCCCTCCCTCAGAGAGCATTGTTGCAGTCCCCAGTTGGGAGGAGACAAGGACAAGTGTGGCCATTATGGGATGTGGGTGCTGAGGAAGATGTCATAAAGCAATGGATTGTAGGTAGCTACATTACAAAAGGGGCATGGTGGCGCTGCAGGTTAAACCGCAGAAGCCTCTGTCCTGCAAGGTCAGAAGACCAGCTGTCGTAAGATCGAATCCACATGACGGAGGGAGCTCCCGTCGCTTGTCCCAGCTCCTGCCAACCTAGCCGTTCGAAAGCATGTAAAAATGTGAGTTGATAAATAGGGACCACCTCGGTGGGAAGGTCACGGTGTTCCGTAGTCGCGCTGGCCATGTGAACATGGAAGATTGTCTTCAGACAAACGTTATCTCTATGAGTTGGAGACGGGGATGAGCACCGTGCCCTAGAGTCAGACACGACTGGACTAAATGTCAAGGGGTACCTTTACCTAGTTACATTACTGGTAACTAGTTACTTCTAAGGTCTGTTCCAAACTCTGATAAAAATAAATGGGGGTTGTCGAAGGGGTGTTCATTTCACCCTTATTTCAAAGAGGCATGTTTTGGAAAACTTCCATGTGGGTTGTCACGTTCGCTCATGAAGAGGATGCTAGTTCCTTTGGGCAAATGCCGGCTTCCCTCGTCCCGGCCACTGTTTTCCTCTCTTGATGCAGCGCAGGATGGAAACCCTGGACGAGTTTGACAACGAATACCCGCTCCACATCTCCTTTTGCGAGCGCATCTCCCCCGAGGATTTCGAGAGGCAGGGCCTGAGCTATACCCAGAAGGCGCTGCGGGAGCTGTACGCCCAAATGGAGCAGAACCCGGGCGCCTGCGAACGGGTGGCGCGCAAGAGGAAGCAGGCAGAGAATGAGAAAGCCAGCTTGGTGCACTACCTGAAGGTGAGACAGGGGACTTCTGGCAAGGGTGCCGGAGGCTGAGTCACGAAGCAGCCTGGTTTACAGTGGTGCCTCGCTAGACAATGATAATCCGTTCCACTGAAATCGCTGTTTAGTGAAATCATTGTCTAGCGAAAAGCATTTTCCCATTGGAATGCATTGAAACCTGTTTAATGCATTCCAATGGGGAAGAATTGTCGTTGTCTAGCGAAGATTGGCCATAGGAGAGCCACTTTGCAAACTGTCAATCAGCTGTTTAAATCGCTGTCTTGCGAAGCTTAGGTCCTGAAAACACCCGTTTTGCAAGCGCAGAGGGAGCTGTCAAAATTGTCGTCTAGCAAAAATTGGTTTGAGAAGCAGGGACCAAACATTGTCCAGCGAAATTCCCCCATAGGAATCACTGTTTTGTGAATCGCTATAGTGATTGCAAAAAACCAATGTCTAGCGAAAAAACTGTCATGCGGGGTAACTGTCTAGTAAGGCACCACTGTACCTGCAAGGGACCATCACAGAAAATGAGAGGCAAACCGAGGCGGCTTCTCACGGGGTCCATAAGTGAAGCTGGCATCCAAGCAGAGATGCCGGGCCTGGGGAAAAAAGTGGCCGACCCGAGTCAGAGAGCCATGAGTCGCTTTATCTTCTCTGAATGGACCTTTGAGCAGCCGGTGGAGGTGGAGAAAAAGAAAGGGATTGATCAATTAATGAATTAATTAATTTTGCATCTTTGGTAGGCCACCTTTCTCCTGGGGAGGGAACTCCGGGTCGCTCACAATGTCTAAAATGAGTAATGCTAAGAACACCATCGATTACAGATTTAAAAAACAATAAAACGACAGTAGTAAATAACAATCCATTAAGTCATGGAGAACCTTTAAAACGTTAAAAGCAGAGGGTTCAAAACATTGCCTGAGGCACTTATTTTCTTCTTCTGAAGAGGAATGTTCATTCCAAAATGAGGTCTTATTTGGAAAAGTGACTTTTTGGGAACTACATTTATACTTGAAGTTGGCCAAAAGTTTGAGAAGTGGGGATAATGGGCCTTTGAATTCCGTCCCTGGCCAGCCCAGCCCATGGGATTGGCAGTCCCCGAAAATAAGACTTCTCCCGTCCATCCTCTCAGGTTCTCCTGTGAGCGTGGCATTCATTCCCACCCCCTGTCTTGCGCTCGACCATCGTTCCAGGCCTTGCCTGGCAGCCCTTCTCGATTCCCTTCTGCTTCTTCTTTTCCAGGCCAAATTCTTTTCCCTGCTTCAAGGGGATGTAAATTGCAGCAACGCGCTGGGAGAACTGGAAATGGAGGAGCAAATAGAGCAACTGAAACGTGAGATGGAGAAAGCCAACAATTATGCCCGCGGTAAGTCTTGCTGTCTCCATCACGCTCTCCCTTCAGGGCGGCGGTTCCATTTCCCTGTGTGTCACATGGTTCTTTGAGAGCACGTGGGGATCAGGGAGAAAGAGCAATATCAACAAAGTTGACTCCCTTTCAGCGGCCAAGAGTTCCTCCTGGAGACTGTCACAGGTGAGGACCCGGAAGACCATCCCCTCGGGAGGATTCAAGCCCAACCAGACCAAACCTCTGCGGCCAGATGCTCCGGAGATGCCCAGAATCTTTGGTCCTGTCCCGAAGCAGGTTTGTGCCTCCAGTGGCCCCCTTTTCCTCCTTCTCGAGCCCCTGTAATTATGGCTGTTTGGTACCCAGGTAAGTGTCACACATCCAGCCCAATGAATAAGAGGAGGTGTAGTTTGGGGAAGAACGGAGAGCTCTTTGCTGTCCTTCAGAAGAGGTCACCAGCGTTCTGTGGACGGGAGTATCTCACCAAGCTTCAGATTCTGGGATTCGGTAGGACAGAGACGTGGGAGTTCTGGTGGCATCATGAGTCATAGTGAACTTACGCGCTCTCCCACCCCCCCAGAATTGTACGTGGAAATTGGTGCTCAGCTAACGTGGGACAGTCTTGAGACTGCTCGTCTCTTCCATGCACAGCTTTCCATGGAACCACGTCCGACTCTTGCACAATGGTGGGTCTGCTGGGGAAACCATCCATTTTGAACAACAGTTTTGTCTTATCTCACTGAGGAGATTCCTCCTCCCTGTAATGTTTGAGGTATCTCCACATGGGTCAGAATTTCGCAGTTGTATCACTGCATTAGAAATCGCAAATGTACCTTAGCATCCCTGATTGAATGTACAGTGGTGCCTCGCTAGACGATGATAATCTGTTCCACTGAAATAACTGCTTAGCGAAATCATTGTCTAGCGAAAAGCATTTCCCCATTGGAATGCATTGAAACCTGTTTAATGCGTTCCAATGAGGAAGAATCGTTGTTGTCTAGCGAAGATCGGCCATAAGAAAGCTGCTTTGCGAACTGCCAATCAGCTGTTTAAATCGCTGTCTTGCGAAGCTTAGGTCCCAAAAACACCCGTTTTGCAAGCACAGAGGGAGCTGTCAAAATCATTGTCTAGCGAAAATCGGTTTGCGAGGCAGGGACCAAACATTGTCCAGTGAAATTCCCCCATAGGAACCACTGTTTTGCGAATCGCTATAGCGATCACAAAAAGTCAATGTCTAGTGAAAAAACTGTCATGCGGGGTGACTGTCTAGCGAGGCACCACTGTATAAGGGAAACTGCCATTCCTTACAAAGTCCTTAAAAAGCATGAAGACACCCTTTAAGATAAGGGTACGTCAAAGGAAGAAAGGAAATGCCAGTTTCAGTGACTTATTTACGCTGCTTTGTGTAACCATCTACATAAAAATGCGTCCAGGCAGATTTTTAAGAGCAAAGTCTCCACAACACGTTGGCGATGGCCAGTGGTTTTTAGCAAACAAGTTTGATAGGATTGCCAACTCAAAAGGCATAAGCTGCCTCCCTAGGTGGGTTATCTCATCTTTATTTTTTTCCAGAGAGGGAGATAAATCTGGAATTACATGGCGGTCAGTCCTCAGGGTGCTTCCTGAGAAGGAGCATTGTTTGGGGTGCCTCACAGGGCTTTGTTTTCCCCCCATCCTCAGCAGATGGAGAAGACTCTGGGTCCCCCCTCCGACCTGAAGCAGCTCTGGGCCGGCATGTCCTCCGTCAGTCAGAAGAGGTAGGTGGGAGTGAAAGACAAGGTTGGATTGGGGGGGGACATGGCCAGTGTCACCAGAAAGCAGGTCATGTGCGAACATTGTGTAAGTGTCTGTGGTGAGGGAAACACCAGGATTTAATGGGCTGAGAAGTTAGCCTGGATGGCTCAATGGTTTAGGCAGAGGTTGGGAGTTTGATTCCTCCCCTGTGGCTTCCCAAGAAAAAAGCCAGCCCGGGGGGCCTTGGGCCAGCTGCGCAGCCCCAGAACTGCTCTCAGAAGAAGGGAAGGGGGAACCAATTCTGAACACTCTCTACCTAGAGAACCCTGGAAAGGTGCCATAAGTCAAAATTCATTTCATGGCACACAAATATTATTATTATTATTATGAGTTGAGAAGATCCTTCTGTAAAGCATGGGTTCTTTTAGTCGTTCACGGTGGGCTGTGCGGTTCTTCCCTGGGGAGAGAGAAGAGAGGAGATGGAAGGCTTCCAGAAGAAGCAAGGATGGGGTCCTTGACAGGAGGCCCAAGAAAAAATGTCAAGGTCCTGAGTTTGTTTATAGCAGGAGAAGAGCAATGGAAGGAGCTGGAAAATCTCAGCTGAGAGGCATGGTAGCCCATAGACTGTACCCGTAGGTGTGGGATGGGTGGAGGACCCAGCTGGCTTGGCTGGAGGAAGGACAAGGGGCAGGATCCGTTCTTGGTCCTCCCAGAGTGCAGGACACACAGCAATGGGTTCAAGTGACAGGAAGTCTGGTGTCGGCTGAAGATCAGGAAAAACATCCTAACTGTTAGAGCAGTACGACAATGGAATGAATGACCTTGGGAGGTGCTGAGCGCTCCCAACACTGGAGCCATTCAAGAGAAAGCTGGACCACCCCCTGTCAGGTTTGGTTGGACTGGGATTCCTGCCTTGAGCAGGGGGGTTGGACTGGATGGCCTTCGAGGCCCCTCCCGACTGAATTATTCTACAATTCTGTGAGAGAGTGAGGCCTGCCATCCCTTGCTGAGGCTGCCGACAGAAGAATAGCATGGCTTTGTGAGGTAGTGGTTACAATGCTGAGCCGAGAACTTAGATCATCCCGGTTGAAGGCACCACTCTTTGAGCGATTTGGGGCCAGTCGCTCCACCTCAGCGTGGACTACCTCACTGGGTTTTGATGAGGCCCTGCTGGGTTGGGGGAGAGTCTCATGGACCTCCTTGAGCACAGAGGTGGAATAAATCAAGAGAGTAAGAAAGGATGACTGGGCCAGGGAAGGGGAGGTTGTCCTCGGCCAACAGAAACCCATTGCTTTGTGGGTCCAAAAGCCGATGTTGACTTGAAGCAGACCAAAGTATTTGTGGGTGTCTGGTGGTTTCCACCATCATCATGGCTTCCCTCAAATGGCCCTGGAGAATGGCATTTGGTGAGGAGGCAATCCTGTGGAGCTCCACTTAGGAAGGGCCATGGAGGTAGAAGATGCTGGCCTTGGTCGTCTAGATCAGAGGTTCCCAACCTTGCATCCCCAGATGTTCCTGAACTGCAGCTCCCAGAAATCCTGGCCAGACCCGCAAGGGGGGAA